ATAATTTACAAAAGGAAAAAGATTAGAACCTCATCTCACAAATACACCACCTATCCTTGGTACTCATGCTCATGGGAGATTTCAAAAATAAAAATTATCAAAGATAAAATCATGAATTGATCAAGATGTTGACAAGGTTATTCAAGAGAGTTCAACACACCATTTAAACTTAAAAGGAAATCTTCATCATTTTTATGAAGAAAGAGTTTTAGGATGGTTCAAGAAAAGAAAAATATGGCTTGCATTAATGAAAGCATGAAATGATCCTTGTATGAAACATTATTACATTATCATGCTTAATTCTACCAAAGTGAAAAAGAGAACAAAAAGCCATTGGTGGAAGCATACTCCAGATTTGAACCATAGCTTCTCACGAATTCGATGGAAACAAAACAAAAGGATGAAGATAATTTTTTGATCATTGATTGAGGACAATCAAGAATTTAAGTTGGGGAGAATATGATAAATGCTCAAAAACGGAAAAAAAAAGTCTTCTACGAAAGTCGAGCATTTATCGAGTTTTCTAAAGCATTTAATCATACAAACCAAGTATTTTATCAAAGAAATGGTATTCTTACTAACTATGCTCAAACTTTGCAGGAAAGAAGTCCATAAGATGAGGAAAACAAGAAAAAACATTGTCCTGTTTCGCTATAGCGAAATTCCAGAAAAAGAACATTTGCTAAGCGAACTCATCTCGCGAAGCGAAAGTAAAATTCCAGAACTGAAGACCCCAGGTTCGCTGGAAGCGAAAGAAAGCGAAAGGAAGCGAAAGCGCGATTCGCTTCGCGAGATTAACTTCGCGTAGCAAAACAAAGTCAGTAGCAAAAGTTCTAAAGTTCGCTGGAAGCGAGGAAGAGCGAAGTCCATAAGTTCTGATTCCTTAAAGCTGAAGTAACAGAGTTTGCGAAGCAAGTATTAGATCGCGAAGAGAACTTTGGTGGCCTCAGAAGACAAGTTTCAAGATAAAAACTTAATTGAGAAGAAACAGAGGCCTCGCGAAGCGAAGTATGGTTCGCTCATCGAACTCAGGTGGCCAGGAAATCTATAAAAGGGACCAAGATCAGTTGCAGAGAGATATCTAGTTTTTTAGCAATTACAGTTGATATTAGTTGAATACAGAAAAGTGTAATAGATAATTAGGAGAGGGGATCGAAGATACGAGCTGGATACACATCAAAGATCAAGAAATCGTCATTGATGCTCATTCATCTCCAACTCTTCCTTTTTGTGCAAGCTACCACGAGCATGGATAGCTAAGATCTCTCTTGCTAGGGATTAGAATACTCTACCAAATCGTATCTATCTTATTCTATTATGCTTTTAATATAAAGAATGTTTTCATGGTTATTGATTATATCTTCTTTATAGTGCTAAATTTTAATGAATCCAATTGATAATGAAAATTGAATTTGAATTCAAGAACAAAAGATAAGAATCACTTAAATAATAATTTCTAGATATAGAATTAGGTTTAAGACCCATATCAAATACTTGAGCCTATGAGTAGTCGAGTTGTTTAATCGATTGAGATATCGTCAATTAAACAAACTGAGGAAAATCGTAAAACTATTGTGTAGACATACATATGGTTTTGACATAGTACATGGAAATATGAATGAAAACAGAACTAACGCGAGTAATCAATAAGATACATATGTGACAGTAGAGGAAAACTAGTCCCTGCAAGATTATCTCCCATAAAACCTTTCACTTACGTCATTTTTGTTATAATCTATTTTTCGTATTTTTGGTAATCCAAGTGTTAGTAATATCGTTCCAGTCTTTGTGGATACGATATACAAAATACTTCTCTTGATAATACACAACATCAATAATCCACACAAAAAAGAATGTAAACATGAGATTTAGATGGTGGACAAATACCCATGAAGTAAATACCCCAACGATAAAAAAGCTTTACCTCTATAATACCATTAAGGGGAATTTTTATCTTGTTTCGAGATGTTATCTATTTTATGGCATTCGGGACATTCATGAACATATAACTTACCATCTTTAAATATAGTTGGCCACCATAAGGCACTTTGAAGTACTTTAGTTGTTGTTCTTTCTTCACTATGGTGGTCTTCATAAGCTAAGCTAAGGCAGTGCCACATAATATTTCTAGCCTCCTTACCTGCAACACATCTGCAAACGAAATTTTGAACACTTATTTTAAAAAGGTAAGACTCATCCTATAAATAGTGATTAGCCTATTTGTAGAATTGTTTCTTCTACTTCTAGATGTAGTCTTCAGGAACACTCTTTATAGCTTTATAATTAGGCATGTCACTAAACCTAGGTTGTTCACTAATTGCCATTAAGTGCTCATCCGAAAACTCTTCAATAATGTTATTTTCTTTTCGAGTTACTTCTTTATTCTCCAACCTGTATAAATGACCAGGTACCACATTTTAAATACATTTTTTATTTTTTATTTCTAAGTCAAACTCGTGTAGCAACAATATTCATTGGAGTAACCTCGACTTAGAATCTCCTTTATTGAAAAGATATTTCAACGTTGTATGATTTGTAAAAATAACTACTTTCGAACCAATTAGATATGTCCAGAAATTTTCCAATGTGAATACCATAGCTAGTCATTCTTTTTCGGTGGTTGTATAATTCACCTGATTTTCGTTTAAAACCTTACTAGAGAAGTAAATTGCATTGAAAAAATTTTCATAGAGTTGACCACAGATACTCTTACCGTGTAATCACTCGCACCGCATATAAGTTCAAAGGGAAGTTTCCAATTTGGAGCTACAATTACAGGTGCAATCACTAACTTTTCTTTAATAATATAAAAAGATTTAAAACATTAATCATCAAATTCAAAATAATTTTCTTTCACTAGGAGGTTGCAAAGAGGTTTTGCAATCTTTGAGAAGTCCTTTATAAATCTTTGGTAAAAACTGACATGTCCTACAAAACTTCTCACTCCTTTAACATTAATGGGAGAGGGTAATTTTTCAATAATTTCTATTTTGGCTTGATCAACCTTATCACCTTGATCCGCTATGATGATATTATATGTCCTAAACGATAACTTTAGTTACCATAAAATGAAATTTTTCCCAGTTTAAAACTAGGTTCATTTTGGTACATCTCTTCATAACAACATTAAGGTGAGCAAGATATTTATACATATCGCTACACAACACAAAAACTATCCATAAATACATCAATGGAAGATTCAATAATATCATAAATATAGAAAGCATGTAACTTTGAAGTTGCAAGAGCGTTTCATAATCCAAATGACATCCTGCGATAAGCGAACACTCTAAAAGAGGATGTGAAAACGAGATTTTCTTGATTTGCAAGATCTACAATAATTTGATTGCATCCCAGATAGCCATCCAAGAAACAATAATAAGCTTGGCCTGCTAGTCTTTTTAATATTTGATCCATACAAGTTAATGGAAAATGATCTTTTTGAGTTGGTTGGTTTAACCTCTGATAATCAATACACATACACCATATGGTAACTGTTAGAGTTATAATCAATTTGTTCTTTTCATTTCAAACAATTGGCATACCTCATCTCTATGGTACTACTTGCACTGGATTTATCCAAGAACAATCGGAAATAGGATAGATCATACATGTTGCAAGTAGTTTCAAGACTTCTTTTCTCACCACTTCTTTCATGGCGGAACTCGGTTTTCTTTGAGGTTGAACTACCAACTCGAATTATTGTTCTAGATTTATTTTATGCATGCAATAAGTTGGGCTAATACCTTTCAAATAGTCGTACTCCAACCAAATACCATTTTATTATTTCTTAGGACTCCAAACAACTTTTTTTCTTCTAGAGTTGACAATGAACTACTGATGATAGTTGGTTGCAACGATTTCTCACCCAAAAAGACATACTTCAAGTGTTTCGGCAACTCTTTTAATTCAAGATCCTTTTTAACTTAGATTGGATTCGATTTCTCATTATCACTTAATTCTTCAATTTTTTCAATTGCTTTCTCGACCTGTGTTGCTTGAAGTTGAAGTAAACACTCTATTACCTTTATATCATATTCATCTTCAACTTGTTCAACTGAATTAATAATAAATCAATCCATCGAGGGTGAAGGTGTTTATGTTGTAGTTACCTCTTGAACAACTTCATCCATTACATCAATTCTATAACACTGAGGATTCTCTTTATGATATTTCGTAGCTTCGAACACATTAAATGCAATTTTTCTTTGTTGAATCTCAATATTAACTCATCCAATTCTACATCAATAAGAGCTCTCTACCTATTGCTAAAAACGGTCTTTTAAAAAATATTGGTGCCTCAGAGTCTTATGACATATCAAGAATCACAAAATCTGCTGGAAAAAACAAATCATTCACTCTAAGGTATTGTTATATATATTTAAATTAATTTTTTGGATGAATATATATTCATCTATTAAAATGATATTAATGGATGAATTTTATCCTTAATAAATAAATTATATTAAATATTTTTAAATAAATTTTAATAAATTATTAATGAACTAATAGATTATTTTCATCATCGTGTAAGAATTCATGTAATTTATCTATTTTGTCACCATACTCTAATTGATACGACTTGGAAAACTCCATATGAATAAGTGATAGAAGAATCAACTAATCTCAAATTCATATGTAGTGTGAAATAAGGTTGGTGGAATTGTAGAAATGTTTTATGTTTTTCATAAAGATGAACCCTTAATGAAGGAAACTAGTATTTTTATCTAAGTAAGAACCGTCATACAAATAACTAGGAATTCAACATTGACTTTTGAAAAGAGAAGGAAAAAAAAAAACACAAACACAAAGACAAAAAACAAAAGTATTACTTTTTAGAGATAGATCATTAGATCATGGATCAACAAAAATGAAACCCTCTGAATCTAGATCTCATCATCAACCCTTCCCAATTCCACATTTCCACTCCATGTAGCTTCTCTTTCCCTCAACCGCGATCCAATGATTCCATTGCATCGCATCAATCCCAATACATTACAATGAACAACGATTACGCTCTCGGATCCCAATCCTACAAATCCTTCCCCGCGTACCCAGATACCGATTTCGACATCGAATCAGGAACCAGCACCCCAATCAAACGAATCAGAAAACCCAAAACTTCATCAATTCTTCACCTTCACAAAATGACCCAAAAAGTTCACCACTTTTTCAAACTTCACCCTCTCGTTGCTCTTTTACTTCTAGCTTTCTCTTTTGGGGTTACCCTTTTGGTTTTCCTCTCTTACAACACGGCCCAGTTGAAGGATTATGAGAGAATTGACCCGGGTGTTGATGAGTACCCGTTTTCGAAGCTTAGGAATTTGGTTATGGTTGCTGGGCATTCGGTTTATATGAGTGGTGGGTGTGGGAAGATTGAGAAAGAGGATTCTTGGTTTTTGGAGTCTTATCAGAGGAATCCGGGGCAAGCAGCGACTTTTGTGAAGCATATTGAGGAAGGGATTGAGATTGTGGATAAGGATGAGTCTGCTTTGCTTTTGTTTAGTGGTGGAGAGACGAGGAAAGATGCTGGACCGAGGAGTGAGGCTCAGAGTTATTGGGCTGTGGCTGATTTCAAAGGATGGTTTGGTGAGTTTTCGTGGTTTTGTGTAGCTCTCGTAATGATGTCTGTTTAAGCATTTTGTATGGTAGGTTCTCAGAGTTCGTATGTTAGAAATGATGGGTGTTTATTCTATAAGGTTTTAAATTTGGTTGTGATTGCATTTGTGTTGTGGTTGAAGAGATTTTAAAAAACCTATGAAGTTGGTGCTACATTTGCGATAGGAAAGACCATTTTTAGAATTTGATTGTGGTTAAATTGCGAATAGGGTTTTAAATAGTCCTGATAACAGTTGCAGTTATGCCGCGATCCTTGATTGTGCAGAGAATTGAGGTCAATTGTGGCCGATGCAGCCTCTATCGCAATCATGTTATGGTTCTTATATCATCAAAAGTTGTTATGTCGTAGCTCATATAACAGTTGCAGATTTAAAACCCCAGTTTTGACAATTGATACGTTGCAGAAAATACAAACAAATGCGGATAGTTTCCCACTGTAATTCTGGTTATTAACTTGTTATTAGTCGTAGATACGCTTATAACCTTGGCTCGAGGACCACAATTTAAAACAATGGTTTTGGATATCAAATTGAGAGTGAATGAATTGAAGTAGATTTAAGTTATTATCATTCTGTTGATTGAATATTTTTATGTGACGATAAAAAAAATGGTTTTATCTGATACTCTTAAACTGGCGGGGAATAGAAAGAAGGGTTTTTGATGGAATGGATCAGATTCCATTTAATTAAATCCTATTTTATGTAATGTAAACAATTGAATTTATTATATTTTAACTCCATTCTGCTTCACCCATTTCTTTCATCAATCCATTTTATTTTTCATATTTTCTTGGCCTAGATATTTGACTGATTGTACTATTATATTTATGATATGATTGGCATAGCAGCTTTAGGAATGTAGTTTGTTATTGCCTAATGTATCATGCACTTATGTGAGAGATAAATAGCTCAAAATAGATTACAAACATGATTATAAAAGAATATCAAATATGGTAGATCAGGTAGCCAATTGAGCTCGTAGAAATGGATTCTCTAACTTTTAGATTTGGCAACTTTAGTGTATTTAGAAGAGAGGATGGTGATTGAAATAAAATTGTTAAGAGGAGAGGAAATGATTGTTTTTAAAGAGATGGATAAAGTCAAGAATGGTAGAGTAATAAAAGGTAGACAATCCCTACCCGTATTTAAATGCATTTCTACAACATATCTATGTGAAGGAACATGAATTGGTAAATGCATCTTTCTTTTTTCCTTATGGTCTTGCCGCCTTGTCTCATCCATTTTTTAGCTTGTAATGTTTTTCCAACACCTCAAAAGTTATCTCCATGAATCTCCATTACATCATCTATCTTTGTTTTCTCTGGGTTTTATTGCTGGTATTGTTGACTTGAAATTGTTTCACCTTTAATTTATTTGCACGTGCTTCCCTATGAACTGTTTTTGTAGAAACAGTCTCAGTTTCTTAGATTGTCTGTGTAGGTAAGGAAGAAAGTGTGAAATGGAGATCACTTACGGAGGAACATGCTCGGGACAGTTTTGAAAATCTTCTATTTAGTGTCTGTCGATTCCGCGAGCTTACTGGCACTTATCCTCAAAATATTACTGTATGTAAGCCTTACTTATGTGAGTTCTAAAGCATTCTGTTCATTTCTGTATAAAGTGATTCGATAGTTTTTTGAAATCGCCATACTTTTGTTCCATTACAATATCAAATACTCAGGATTTGTGTAATGGCTGCTGAGAAATACTCAAAATTAATTGATGTAAAATGTTATTAATATGCATACAAATTGCATGTTGCATAGGAAAAAGAGATGATGCCACAGTCTATAGGAGATCCATAAGGAAAATTAAAAATGGGGTGTTAACTGAGAAGAGTCTCATTGGATGAAAATAGTGTTAAAATTAGTTCATAAATAGTGGTCGGTCTCCACTTTATAAGCCGGGTTTTGTAAAAGTTGAATTAGGCCTAACCAATCCAAATTCAGATTACATCAGAGTAGTCAATAGCGGCGCTATCCCGCTATAGTGGAGCGGAGCGGAGACCGACCGCTATGGGAAGAGCCTTAGCGGTGCAAAACACTATAGTGGCCGCTATAGGATAAATAGCGGGATAGCGGAGTAGAGCGGTTTCTGGCCCGCTATTCCTTTCCCTTCTAAAAACCCGAAATTACCCCTTAAATTTACAATGTTTTAAGGGTAATTTTGGGTTTTTCAATCAAATTTGAGTTGAGACTCAACCTTAACCTTCCTTTATAGTCGTTTATGCACTTCAAGAGTCATGTGTGCTTTGATTTATGAATATTTTATGAGTTGAGTTATTTATTTAATTTTAAATTAAATATATGTTTATAATTATTATATGTAATTTGTATAAAAAATGATAGAATAGAGTTGTCATCCCGCTATTCACTATCCTGCTATCTCACTTTTAAGGTGGGTTGCTATGTGCCGCTATCTGGGAATGGCTACTCGCGCATGAGGGAGTGTTAAGAGTCTCGCATTAATCAGATATGGTTTGAAAATAATTTTACAATTTTATTTAGTGAGGAATGAATTAGGATCAACCTGAATTGTAAGATGAAGACTTAGGGAACAATTAGACTTTCCTTACTTAATGGCCACTATAACCTCATGTGCATTTGACTTGCAATCCTTATTCCTTGTTTCATTGTATGCATATAAAGGTGTACAGAATCATCAGTTGTACTATACAAGAGCATGTTAATTTTTCTATTTTGAGGATCATTTTCTATCCAAATTTCATGCTTCAATACAAATATAAATTGAATGATGATTTGCATGGTTTTTCAGTTGCATTATTGGTTTAATCTGATTTGCTAACTCTGTGAATCAGGTTGTAAGTTATGATTTCAAGGAAAACAGATTTGCAAATCTACATCGATCCGCAATCGGCTTTCCAGAGTCAAGATTCTTCTATGCTGGCACACCTGCAACAACAAATGCAGTAGCAGCTGCTCTAAAAGGCGAGGAATTGGTGAGAACACAATTCTTAAGAGATCCATACGGATGTCGGGGTTCACTCTATCACAAAAAACTAAAGCGCGACCCTTTTCATCGATCAATTCCATATCCTAATGGATGCCCAGAAATGGAAGCTTTGTTCAGATATTGTGGACCAGCTCCATACCCCGGCACACTCCCGTGGGCATAGTAACGGTAGTTCCCTAAATTATAGAAATGTAAACTAACAACATAGAAATATTAGACACATGATATCAAGATTAAATTTTGTTTAGACGATGATAAATTGTGTAGATGAATCATGAAACTGTTGCATCTTTGATAGAAGTACGTCAAGGTTTTTTTTAAGGTGGATTTATTATGCTTGTTACCAATTATTAAGAGATTGGCTCAATGGATTTTAGACTTTACAAGCTGGGAAATAATCTATTAGAGCTTTAGGGCTCATCAATTATCTAGTTATAAAAAGCCCTCCAATTGATCAAACAATTCTTTAATTAATTAGCTAGACTTTAAAATGATTTTCAGGTGATTTTAACAAATAAAGAGAGAACTTAAAAAGGTTTTTAAGTGCGTGTTTGAGTTGCCTTGTTATCTTAGGAGTTTCTTAGGATTTATTCTCTTACTTTCATAAGATTCTGGTCACTTATTATCTTAGGAGTTTCTTAGGACTTATTCTCTTACTTTCATAAGATTTTGGTCACTCAGACAGAAACAATCAAGCGAGTCTTTACACCATATAAGCATTTGACTGGAACCTTGAATTTCATATTATATCAGACTTGAGATAAGAGGCACCCTTCAATTTTAAACTTTACGTCTATTTTCTTGTATTTATTGATCTATGCATCCCTTGAATTATTCGGTTTTGCATCTACATGCACATCGCTCAATGTCCACTTTCTTTCGTGTGTGTATATATATATATATAGGTTGCACCCTATGAGCCAGGGTTCTGTCCGTCACTGCTTGAGATATTTTTAAGTTAATCAACATTATTAGAGAGTTGAAAAGATAACACCTCTGACTTCAACAAACATCAGTGTTGTTGTCATCAAAACACCAAGATAGACAGTAACATCATGATCGTTAGCTTCATACTCACAAGCACATAGATTCACACTTATTTTAGATTAAATCTGAGACAAATAGATTTGTTCAAGGTGGTCTACGAAGGTCAGTTGGGGGACGGCGAGAAGGTCCATCCATTTGGTGATGTCATCCGAAATGAGCACGAGGGCCATAAGGTGACTGAAGCATTCTCCAAGAAGTTCAAACTAACAAAGCCACCGGAGTCCACCATTCATCCAAAACCTCAGCCTCCTCTTGGCGAACGCCTCCGTGAAAATTTCAAGTTGATTTTCAAGTTTTGTTCTTCGTTGTTTTGTTCATTGTTTGGAACATTTTTAGACTGCCTCCTCTTGGCGAAAATTTCAAGTTTCAAGTTTTGTTCTTCGTTGTTTTGTTCATGGTTGATTTTTAAGTTTTCTTCTTCGTTATTTTGTCCATTGTTTGGAACATTTTTAGACTAACATTCTTTTTTTGTTCATTATTTGGATTAGAGATAGAGACTAAACATTTCATTTTTTTGTTCATTGTTTGAATTATAGACTAAGCACTTCAAGCCTTATTCATAATCTAATTGTTTGAATTATAGACTAAGCACGTCTTTTTTGTTCATTGTTTGAATTAGATTTTTTGAATTAGAGATTAAGCACTTCAAGCCTTGTTCATAATCTATAGAGACTAAGCTTTTCATTTATTTATTTACTGTTTGAATTAGAGTTCAAACCTAGCTCTCTTGATTGAATAATTCTCATGTAAATTGACTAAGCATTTCATAAATACTTAGCTCTCTTGATTGAATAATTTCATTTTTTTTGTTTATTGTTGGAATTAGAGATTAAGCACTTCAAGCCTTGTTCATAATCTAAGCATTTCATTTTTTTTATTGTTAGAATTAGAGATTAAGCACTTCAAGCCTTGTTCATAATCTAAGCACTAAAATTTCATAATTTCATATCATTTTGAATTAGAGACTCACTTCATAATCTACTCAAGCATAGTAAATAATTAGCTCTCTAGATTGAATAATTCTCCGGTTTCATTTTTTTGTTTATTGTTTGAAATAGAGATTAAGCACTTCAAACCATGTTCATAATCTATTAAAAGATCTGAAATTTCATATCATTTTGAATTAGAGACTCAAATCTATTAGTTAATTTATGTAAATTGATTAACTAATTTATGTAAATTGATTAAGCATATCATTTTTTTGTAATAATTTTATGTAAATTGATTAAGCATTTCATTTTTTTGTACTAATTTATGTAAATTTGGATTTCATTTTTTGTACTAATTTATGTAAATTTGGATTTCATTTTTTTGTACTAATTTATGTAAATTTGGATTTCATTTTTTGTACTAATTTATGTAAATTTGGATTTCATTTTTTTGTACTAATTTATGTAAATGAGGATTTCATTTTTTTTTGTATAAATTGATTAAATTTCTTTTTTTTCATTTTTTTTTGTACTATTTATGTAAATTGATTAAGGATTTCATTTTTTTGTACTATGTAAATTGATTAAGGATTTCATTTTTTTGTACTAATTTCATGTAAATTGATTAAGCATTTCATTTGTTGGAATAAGAAATTAAGCACTGCAAGCAAGCCTGGTTAATAATCTAATAAGAGATTAAACACTTCAAACAATTCAAACAAGCCTTGGAGATTAAACACTTCAAGCAATTCAAGCAAGCCTTGGAAATTAAGCACTTCAAGCAATTCAAGCAAGCCTTGGAAATTAAGCACTTCAAGCAATCAAGCAAGCCTTGGAAATTAAGCACTTTACTTCAAGCAAGCCTTGTTCATAATCAAATAAAAGATTAAGCAATTCAAGCAAGCCTTGTTCATAATCAAATAAAAGATTAAGCAATTCAAGCAAGCCTTGTTCATAATCTATAAAACTAATTTCATTCATAAATTCTCCAGTGTAAATTTCTTAAATTAAATTTTCATTGAATATTAGTTAAATATTTTTATAAAATATTTTCAAACAATTATCAAATAATTTTAATTTAAATGAATGGTAACAAAATTAGATCGTAACATCGTCTCGAAACTATATTAAATTTTTTGAAAATAGTGATAAAAGCTAAAGTGTAAAATTACAAAATATTCAAAAACAATTAAAATAAAAAACCAATTTAAATGACAAAATATGAGGCCATGATCTTAAATCGAACAATATTAAGTAAAATATTGTCATATAATTAAAAACTACAAATCGTTTCACAAAATTAAAAAAAAAAGTGTAGATCTATAACCATCAGAAACCAAATTTCATCCCCAGAAGCTGTAAAGCTTTGCGGTCCGCATCATGGTTGGGGTTATAAAAACCCCGCATCATTTGGTTTCTCAAATTCAAATAAAAACAGATGAAAATAAACCAATAATATAAAAAAATTGTTCAAAACGATATATAAATATAAAAAGGGCTCAGAAAAATAATGGGTATGAGAAAGTTATCAGCACTGAAAATCAGAGTGGTGCATGACTATCTCTATGAATCATCACAGCCCATTAAACAATATAAGCTGTAAACAATAAACAGAGAAAAACAGAGAAGCTATGTGAAAACAATAAACAGAGAAGATATGTGAAAAAGAAAATGAATGGTAGAAACGCTGTGGCGTTGCTTTTATATTGGAAATGGTAGAAACCCTAATTGGTTTTATGGTTAAGGTGACTCTTATTGGGCCGGTCCATCTATTATGGTTCAACCACACGGCCCAATCCTTCTTAGTCTAAGCAAGTGAGAGATTACTTGTAATATAATAAATTCATTTCTATAAATTTATTAAGAATTACTTTACAAGAACAACTTTTTAACAATTGTTAGCTAAAAGAAATGAATTATCATTTCTCAATACATTAGGATACCCTATAGGATGGAAGGAATATCTGAATTTATTTATTTAAAAAAATAAATTTTAAATTATGATTTGTCGGTAATATTATTCTAATATATTGTGAATATATTGTGAATATATGACTCTCCATTTTTATTAAAACTTTTTTTAATGGACTTTTTTTTTGTTACAAGGCCGAAACGCAAAAAAAATAAGAAAGACTACTTCATCATAAGATGTGAAGTAGGATCCCTAAAAAGATCTAAGTCCAACCGATTCTGAATGAAAGAAGGACAAATAATAAAAATAATAATACAATTCTTAAAGATGAATGTCATGTTTAACTAGCACGTCAGCACATCGATTAACCTCCCTATAAATATGTCTAAACTTCATTTCTCTTCCTTGTCCATAAAGCTTCTTGATTCTGGAGATTAAATCATTGCTCCTATTGCATTAGACTAGGGATGTCAGTTTGGACCTGTTAATGGGGATCCCCGCGGGGAACGCCCCGTTCGGGGCCCCAAAGATGGGGAATTTTCCCCCGTGGGGGCGGGGATGGGGAGAAAAATTCCCCCGAGAGCATTTCGGGGACGGGGACGGGGAATACACCCCCCGTCCCGCGGGGACCCCGCCCCGCCTATTATTTTAATATAGTTAATTTAATATATATATTTTAGATTAGGTTTTTTAGTCATTTCCTTTATGTTTATTTATAAAAATAAATAAATAAATATTCATGTATTTATTAAGAGAGAGAAATGTAAATATTAGACCCTAAAAAAGTTGAAGCGTTTCATTTTCTTCTGCCAGACATTTAGAGTCTCACACGTTAGACTCCTTTTTTTCTTCTCCAGTCAAATCTCCATTCATCTTCCTCTTCCAATTCCATCTTCTCTATTTGGTGTGCTTCCATTATTCACAGCTCTTACAATTTCATTAATAAGGTTTGATTTTCATAAATTTGTTCATGTAATTATTTATAGGAAAAAATAGATTATTTCTCTTTGATTCTCATAAATCTGTTTATATTATTGTTTATAGAAAAAAATAGATTGTTTCTCCTTGATTCTCATAAACCTGTTCATGTAATTGCTTATAGGAAAAGTTGATTATTTTGATTAAATTTAAATTAAATTGTTTAGAAATTTTAGAGTTATCAAATCATTTGCATATTAAAAAAATATAAAATAATCAAAAAATTACTCATTTTTATCTCCTTTTAAATATTTTTGTGTTCATTTTTTATCTATACTATGCATTTTAAAAAAATAA